CCCGCCCCGCAGTCTACCACGTGATCTTCATCTACTGCGCCGTCAAGGGCCAGCGGGGCTTCCAGTTCTTCTACCTGCCCTACTTCGAGAAGTGAGCCGGCGTGTCCCGCGCCGTTCCGTTCGCCTCGGTTCGGGGGAAGGGGCCCCCGGGACCCCCACACCCTCGGGAGTTTGCTCAGGCCTGGCCCTGGGAAGGTCGCCCCTCGCCCGCCCTGTGCCTTAACTTATTCTCGGCCCTGCGGCTGCCGGGCTCCTGGTAGCTTGTGCTAATAAAAGAGTAATGGCAGCAGCGACAGCTGCGCTCTCTGTGTCCCGCCACCGCTGACCCAGCCCTCCAGCCTGACCACAGGCTCCACCCGGAAAGGCCGAGAGGGCGACGGACCCTGGGGCTGGTGGGCTTCAAGCACCACCGGCCTCGCGTGGGACAGGCAACAGCCTGGTGCTCCGAGACTTGCCCACGTCACGCGGCAACATGTCAGGGACGGGGACGCACCAGGGACTCCTCCGCCCGGCAAGCCCGGAGGAGGCCTGAAGAGCCTTCCCCACCCCCAACCCTTGGCAGGCGCCCCCACCCCCACCCCGGTGTCTGTCGGTGGCTCTGCCCAAGGGCCTCGGAGATGACGCAGGAATGGGGCCTGGAGGCTGGTATCCCAGTTCCAGCCCGGCTCTGGGGCCCTGGGCTGCCGCAGCCAGCCCGGAATGTGGGCCATGGCACCCTCCTTCCCAGGCCGGAGGGGGAGAAGGGGGCAGAGGCGCGGGACGGGCGCCTGCCTGACGGGCAGCCTCAGTGGTCCAAACTCTTGGAACCAGGGGAACGTGAGAAACAGGCCATCTCGGAATTTTGGAAAATCAGAGCGTCTCAGAGTCTTAGGAACCAAGAAACAGGATCTTTGAGAACCCTGAAATCTGAGATCATAATAGCTACCAGTTCTCAAGCTGCTGGGAGGCACCAGGCAGGCCCTGGGCTAAGCACTGAGCACGGGCTGTGTCTTGTATTCCTCACCTCCTCAGCCCCATTTTACAGAAGAGGAGCCTGAGGCCCAGGAGGTGGGCCCCATTTTACAGATGAGGACTGACTCATCCAAGGACACCCAGTGGGTTGTAAGCAGAGTTGGGACAGCCCAGGGCTCCAGCTCCCCAGCCAAGGGCCCTTTCCATGACGCCGGGAGAAGGGCAGGAGAGGGGAACTGAGTCCGTGTACCCTGCTGGAGAGGCCTGGTGGCATATTGCCCGTTCACAGTCTCCGCCACTAAAACACGAGCACCACTCACCATTGAAGGCACGGGGGCCCTCGGGGTTCTGTGAACACCGGGCCCCTGCGATCGCGCCTGCCCCCCTGGCCCACCCAGGCCTGCCACTCAGAGCCCGCGATCGAGGCGCTTTGGGGACACCCATCAAATCCTCAAACTAGCTGTGGTAAAGGACTAGTTTTCGTTTCTAATCCATCATGAAACAATACTTTTGTACGATAAAATAAAAGCTAGAAAAGTGAAATAAACACATATAGAAATTATCAGTTTATCAGATTGATTAATAAAATTACATTCCAATAAATATAATCAAAGCAAGCATAGAAGAAAAGAAAAATAACAAAAACTACTCATTGAAAGCGAGCAAATAGCCAATTAGCTCAGAGAGTCGCTACTATACTTACAACCTTTTAATCATCCTACAATTTTTTTTTAGAGTCTCTGTTGCCCAGGCTGGAGTGCGGTGGCATGCTCACAGCCACCACAGCCTCATCCTGCTGGGCTCAGGTGATCCTTCCACCTCAGACTTCCTAGGAGCTGGAAATACAGTTGTGCCCCACCAAACCCAGCTAATGTTTTATTTATTGTAGAGATGAGGTCGTGCCAAGTTGCCCAGGCTGGTCTCGAACCCCTCGACTCAGACAATCCTCTTGCCTCAGCCTCCCAAAGTGCTGAGATTACAGACTTGAGCCACCATGCCCAGCCTACAGTTTTTTTAAAACAAGGTCACACTCTGTTGCCCAGGCTGGAGTGCAGTGGTGCTATCATAGCTCACTGTAGTCTCAAACTCCTGGGCTCATGGGACCTTCCCACTCAGTTTCCTGAGTAGCTGGGAGTACAGGTGTGTACCACCACACCGACCTAATTTAATTTAATTTTTTTTTTTTTTTTTATAGAGATGAGGTCTCACTGTGCTACCCAGGTTGGTCTCAAACTCCCGGCCTCAAGTGATCCACCTTAGCCTTCCAAAGTGCTGAGATTACACGCATAAGCTGCCGTGCCCAGCCTAATTCTACAGTCTTAACAGAAAGTTATTTCAAGTGGCAATTCCTCTTATTAGAAGCCTGTATCAGAAGTCAGCAGGGTGTAGTCCACAAATTGTTTTTCTTTGTTTTTTTAGTTGGAGTCTCACTCTGTTGCCCAGGCTGGAGGGCCGTGACACACTCACCGCCACCCCAGCATTGACCTGCTGGACTCTGGTGATCCTTCCACCTCAGCCTTCCGAGTAGCTGGAACTACAGGCACACAACACGGGCTCAGGCAATCCACTCGCCTCGGCCTCCCAAAGTGCTGGGATTACAGGCTGAGCTACCAAGCCTGGCCCACAAATTTTTTTTTATATTTTGTAATAGGAAAAGCCAAAGAAAAAGAAGATAAAATTTTGTGACATAAAAGTATATAAAATTCAAATTTCAGTGTTAATAAATAAAGTTACTTGTTTGTTGGTTTTTTTGGGTTTTTTTTTAGTTGGAGTCTCACTCTGTCACCCAGACTGGAGTGCAGTGGCCGCCCCCGGCCACCACAGCCTCGAACTGCTGGGCTCCGGCGATCCTTCCGCCTCAGCCTTCTGCGTAGCCGGAATTACAGGTGCACACTACCACACCCGGCTGATTTTTGATTTATTGTAGAGATGAGGTCTCGCCACGTTGCCCAGGTGGGTCTCGAACCCGTGGGCTCAGGCAATCCACTCACCTCAGCCTCCCAAAGGCGCGGGATTAGAGGCTGAGCCACCGAGCCCGGCTGTTTGCTGTTATTTATGAAGTTTCCGACACGGCTGCACTCATCTGTCTGTAAGTCGGCTTTGATTCTTTGCACAGCAAACCACAACTGCCGGAAAGAGTGAACGGTTGCCTTGGAGACCATGTGGTCCTCAAAGCTTAAAATATTTACTACCCAGCCCTTTATACAAGTTGCCAACACTTTGTCTATAGGAACACTTTGACAGAATGTTGTCCATCTGTCCATCTGACAGTTCTCTCGAGTTGTTGATCATTGTTTTGTGTATTCTGCAGTTTCACTGGTTTCAATTTGCACCCTCAATTGGGGACTTAAAGTCTGTGGAAGGGCTGGGCTTGGTGGCTCAGCCTATAATCCCAGCGCTTTGGGAGACTGAGGTGAGTGGATTGCCTGAGTCCACGGGTTCGAGACCCGCCTGAGCAACTTGATGAGACCTCATCTCTACACTAAATCAAAAATTAGCCGGGCGTGGTAGCGCGTGCCTGTAACTCCGGCTACTTGGAAGGCTGAGGGGGAAGGATCGCCGGAGCCCAGCAGGTCGAGGGTGCGGTGGCCGGGAGCGGCCATTGCACTCCAGTCTGGGTGACAGAGTGAGACTCCAACTCAAAAAAAAGAAAAAAGTCTGTGGAAGGCTTTTTTTGGGGGGGAGTCTCACTCTGTTCCCAGGCTGGGGTACACTGGCACAATCATGACCACCACAGCCTCGAACCCCTGGGTTCAGACAATCCTCCCACCTCTGCCTCCCAAGTAGCTGGAATTACAAACATGTGCCACCATGGCTGGCTAATTTTTTTTTTTTGCAGAGACAGGGTCTCACTATGTTGCCTAGTCTGGTCTTGAACTCCTGGGCTCAAGTGATCCTTCCACCTCACCTTCCAAAGTGCTGGGATTACAGGTGTGAGCCATGGCACCCGGCCAGTGGAAGCCTTTATGGAAAGTTTTCAGTCTAACCCTCATGCCTGTTTTGTATATTTCTTCTTCTGAGATTCCCAATGACTGTGAACCCTCCTTAATGTTTTCCATCTTTTTGTCTCTGCTGCATTATAGGTGATTTCTCAGACATAACTTCCAGTTCATTAATCTTCCTTTAAACTGTGTTTAATCCGCTGATAACTTATCCATTAATTTTTTTCATCCCAATGGCCTTTTGTTGTTGTTGTTATTTCTAGAAGTTCTGTTGGGTTATTTTTTTCTTTTTTCTTTTTTTTTGAGTCGGAGTCTCACTCTGTCACCCGGGTTGGAGTGCAGTGGCATGCTGGTGGCCACCACAGCCTCGACCCGCTGGACTCAGGCGATCCTTCCACCTCAGCCTTCTAAGTAGTTGGAACTACAGGCGAACACCACCATACCCAGCTTATTTTTTGATCTATTGTAGAGATGAGGTCTCTCCACGTTGCCCAAGTTGGCCTCGAACCCCTGAGCTCAGTCAATCCTCTTGCCTCTGCCTCCCAAAGTTATGGGATGACAGGCTTGAGCCACTGCACCCGGCCTTTTTTCTTTCTTTCTTTCTTTTTTTTTTTTTGAGTCAGAGTCTCACTCTGTCATTCAGGCTGGAGTGCAATGGCACGCTTATGGCCACCACAGCCTCAACCTGCTGGACTCAGGCAATCCTTCCACCGCAGCCTTCCAAGTAGCCAGGCTAATATATGCTCAGCTAATTTTTTGATTTTTGTAGAGACGAGGTCTTGTCAAGTTGCCAGGGCTGGTCTCGAATCCCTGCACTCAGGCAGTCCTCTCACCTCCACCTCCCAAAGTGCTGAGATGACAGGCGTGAGCCACCACACTTGGCTGGCAGAAGCTTTCTGAGTACTGAAGACTGCTTTTCTTTTTGAGTCAGAGTCTCACTCTGTCACCCAGGTTGGAGTGCAGTGGCATGCTCACAGCCATCCCAGCGTCGACCTGCTGGGCTCCGACGATCCTTCCACCTCAGCCTCCAAGTAGCCTGAACTACAGGCATGCACTACCACACCCGGCTAATTTTTTATTTATTTATTGTACAGACAAGGTCTCGCCAAGTTACCTGGGCTGCTCTCAAACCCACGGGCTCAGGCCATCCACTCGCCTCGGCCTCCCAAAGTGCTGGGATTGCAGGCAGAGCCACTGAACCCAACCCCTGTTCTATTTTCATACTATCCTGTTACTGCTTATGATCTTTCTTTCTTCTTTTTTTTATTTTGCATTTATTTTGTCTTTTAGGTTGTTTTATTATTATTTACACTTTGAGATGCGAGCCCTCCTATTTTGCATAGTAGTTTATTTCCTTACATTATTTTTATTTCTATTTTTTATTTTATTTTTTTTGAGACACGATCACTCAGTTGCCCAGGCTGGAGTGCAGTGCTGCAATTCTGGCTCACTGCAGCCTTGACCTCCTGGACTCAAGTGATCCTCGCATCTCTCAGCTTCCTGAGTAGCTGGGACGACAGATGCCCACCACCACACCCAGCTTGTTATCTATAATTTTATCATGGGCTCATCCTTGGGAATGGCAGGGATTTTCAATTTTGGTTTTGATTTTACAAGTGCCGTGCACATGTGGGTTGAAGGAGTGCCCGTCTCAGCAGGTTTTTTCTCCCAGTTTTTTTCAGCTTTCCACATCCTGGACACAGACCACACTCCTGCTCAAGGTGCAGGCCCTGGGGCCTCAGGCTCTCTGGGGTAACTTGTGTCCACTCGTTGCCCTAAGCACCTGCATCCTTGCCCCCTCTCAGGCGGGCCAGTGGAGAAACGCTTGAGTCCCTTTTTCAGGGATTGGGTCACCCTTTGACACCCTGGAACACACCCAGAATCCTCTGGGTCTTCTGTCCTTTGTGAATGTTGGAGCCCAGGCACCCAGGCGTCCATCTGGGTCTGAATCTCCCATGAGATCAGCTCCCTCCTACAATCCCAGCTTCAATGTGTGTCTTTGTCCTCAGTACCTGGGGTCATTAATTTCTTTCTTTCAGGTTTTTGTTTTGTTTTTGTTTTTGTTTTTGTTTTGAGTTGGAGTCTCACTCTGTCGCCCAGACTGGAGAGCAGTGGCACGCTCCCAGCCACCGCAGCCTCGACCTGCTGGGCTCCGGCGATCCTTCCGCCTCAGCCTTCCAAGTAGCTGGAACTATCACGCCCAGCTAATTTTTGATTTATTGTAGAGATGAGGTCTCACCAAGTTGCCCGGGTGGGTCTCGAACACTCAGGCTCAGGCAATCCACTCGCCACGGCCTCTCAAAGCACGGGATTACAGGCTGAGCTACTGAGCCCGGCCTAGATTTTTTTTTTTTTTAAAACAATTTTTACTCACAGTAGCGGGAGGGGCCGGCCACCCTCTCAATTCACCCTAGATTCTTGTTGAATTCTGCCAATGCCAGGGAACTCCCTACCTTCCTTCTAAGCTTCTGGAGAGACCCAAGTCTTGCTCACGCCAGGAAACGACGGGCAGCTGAGCGCAGATTTCTCCAGGCAGCTGGAGCAGTGGGGAGGCCGGGTTGAGAGCGGGTGGGTAACACGAGACCCTCAGGCCGGGAGTCATCAGGGAGGGAAGTCTGTGGGCTGCTGGGCCTCCATCCTGGAGCCTCTCGGAGGATGGGGACAACCTGGGTCTCGCGGACACGCCCCCCGGGAGCCTTAGTGGGAGGACAGCATCATCACGAACTCTGTGGGAGAGAAGGGCGGGGCTTGGGAGCGAAGGGCGGGGCCTGGGAGCGAAGGGCGGGGCTTGGGCCCACAGCAGGGAACCCCGGGAGGTGCAGGGCTCAGCCTGGGCACCGAAGGGTGGGGCAGCGGTGGGAGGGAGGCTTACCGTCGAAGTCCACGGTGCCGTCCCCGTTGAGGTCCACTTCTCGGAGCATCTCATCCAGCTCAGAACTCGCCAGTGGCTCCCCCAGTAGAGCGGGTGCGGCCTCCCGCAGCTCTGCCACCGTGATCCGTCCATCCCTGTCCCTGTCAAACTAGGGTCCGGGCAGGGCTCAACCTCTCCCAGCCAAACGCCTCTGCCCGTAGCCGGCTCCACTTTTTGTGTGTTTGTTTTTTTGTTTTGTTTTTTTGAGTTGGAGTCTCACTCAGTCGCCCAGACTGGAGTGCAGTGGCCGCTCCCGGCCACCGCAGCCTCGACCTGCTGGGCTCCGGCGATCCTTCCGCCTCAGCCTTCCGAGTAGCTGGAACTACAGGCGCGCGCTACCACGCCCGGCTAATTTTTGATTTATTGTAGAGACGAGGTCTCTCCAAGTTGCCCAGGCGGGTCTCGAACTTGCAGGCTCAGGCAATCCACTCACCTCAGCCTCCCAAAGTGCTGGGATTACAGGCTGAGCACCGAGCCCAGCTTTTTTTTTTTTTTTTTGAGTCCGAGTCGCATTTTGTCGCCCAGGCTGGAGTGCAGTGGCACGCTCATGGCCACCGCAGCCTGGACCAGCTGGGCTCAGGCGATCCTTCCGCCTCAGCCTTCCAAGTAACTGGAGCTACAAGCGTGCACCACCATGCCTGGCTAATTTTTTGATTTATTGTAGAGACAAGGTCTCACTAAGTTGCCCAGGCTAGTCTCGAACCCCTTGGCTCAGGTAATCCTCTCACCCCAGGCTTCCAAAGTGCTGGGATGACAGGCATGAGACACCACGCCTGGCCAGCCGGTTCCACTCTTGCCACTGCCAATGCTTAGCTGCTCCCCTGCTTCTTCCTCCAGGAAGTCTCCCTGGATGGATCCCCCCCTCAAGCTGGGCATGAGCTGAACCCTCTCTGACTCATCCCTAGGCCCTAGTCCCACCACAGCCTGCAGGGTTCTGGGCCTTCATGGTCTCCCCTGGCCTTAGAGGACATCAAAGAGGCAGTCCAGCCCCGTCCCACCGCCCACTGCCCGCCTCGCCACGCTCCGCACCTCACCTCTCGGAAGGCGATGCGTAGCTCTCGCACACCGAGCATGTGCGCGGTCTCCTCCCTTAATTTCGGGCCTATCAGTTCCACAAACTCCTCGAAGTCCACACGGCCACCCACTGCGGACCCAGGCAGATTGTCACGATGGTGAGGGCCAAGGCCCAAGGAGGGACATCATGAGAGCCAGACACCCCCTCCCACCCACCCTCGGGCTGTGCATCCAGAAGGAACACCCACGTCCATGCCCGCAGGGTGCAGGAGGCTGGTACTCCGGTCCCCAGGCTGCCCTTAGCAAAGAACTCAAGTGTGGGAGAAAGAGACCAGGCTTTGGAGCCAAGCAGCCCCAGGGTTCTGGGTTCAAATCCTGCTTATGCTGCTGATGTGCATGGCTCTGGGATCTGCTAACCCTCTCTTCCTCATCCTCAGATGGGGATGAGAAGCCTATTCCGTGGGGTACTGTTGGAGTTCAAGTGCATGGCTCTCACGTGCTGGAGCCCATCAGGAGGCAATAAGTGCCACACTTCCGAGGCACGCCTGTATGGTAGTCAGTGTCCCCGGTTCTAAGATGCCACCAATCACGCAAAGTATGGATGGTCACCAACAGCTTTGGGGACAGACAAGCATGGCACCAAAGGTTCGCATCAGTTGTAAATCCCATCTGCATTTTGAAAACTGAGACCGAGCACAGTGGCTCACGCCTCTACCCCCAGCACTTTGGGAGGTCGAGGCAGGAGGATTGCTCGAGCCAGGTATTCGAGACCAGCCTGGGCAACATAGCAAGACCTCATCGTTACAAAAAACTCAAAAAATTAGCCAGTCGTGGTGCTCCCAGCTATTCGGGAGGCTGAGGCGAGGAGGATCACCTGAGCCCAGGAGGTCGAGGCTGTGGTGGTCATGATCATGCCACTGCCCTCCAGCTTGGGTGACAGAGACCCTGACTCAAAATAACAACAACAACAATAATAATGATTAGCCGGGCTCGGTGGCTCAGCCTGTCATCCCGCGCCTTTGGGAGGCTGAGGTGAGTGGATGGCCTGAGCCTGCGGGTTCGAGACCCGCCTGGGCAGCGAGACCTCATCTCTACAATAAATTAAAAAATCAGCCAGGTGTAGTAGTGCATGCCTGTAATTCCGGCTACTTGGAAGGCTGAGGTGGAAGGATCGCTGGAACCCAACAGGTCGAGGCTGCGGTGGCTGGGAAAGGCCACTGCACTCCAGTCTGGGTGACAGAGTGAGACTCCAACTCAAAAAAAAAAAATAATAATAATAATGATGACAACAACAATAGAAAAAATGCAGGGCTCTGGAACAAAGGAAATATGATCTTTGCCTGAGAATAATCACAGACATTTGGTGCAGGGTGCAGCCAGAGACCTCTCAAGCCAGGGCCACGCCAGGCAGCTGCCACCAGGGGATGGGGTGGGGCAGAGTTGCAGACAGAAAGAGAGGGGTCTCCCGGAGAGAGCAGTTGCCACCGAGTCAGAGACCTCTAGGCCAGAAAGGCCTTGGGTGGAAGGAGTGAAGGTGTGCAGCAGACGGGCTCCTCCCCCCAGCCCCAAGGGCCTCTCTTGGGTCCCCGGCGGCCTTCCTGCCACACCGAGAAACAGCATCCCCGCATCTGATGGGGCCATTGTGGTCCTGGAAGCCGTCACCCTCCCTCACTCCCACCAGCACCCCTGACCCCTGACAGACTCCCAGAGGCCACCGCCCACTGCCCCTCGTCGCCCCAAGATCACGCTATTCCCGAGGCTCGGCGAGGAGCCCACAGTCGGCCTTGGCCCGCCCACCCCGGCAGGGGGCTCTGTCACTGACTTCTCATCTTGACGTGCTGAGAGACCTCCAGCAGTTCCATCTCGGTGGGCATGTAGCCCAGGGTCCGCATGCAGTCGCCCAGGTCTCGGTAGCCGATGTAGCCATCATGGTCAGTGTCAAATTCCTCGAAGGCAGCCTGGAGCTCTGGGGTGGGGGCGGGGAGGTCAGGCCCACGGACCGGCTCAGGGACAGCGCCCGCCCTGCCAGCCGCCAGAGACACTCACCATCCAGCTCCTCGGGGGCCAGCTCACGGTCCTGCAGGGGGTTAGTCCAGCATGTCCCCAGAGCCACCAGGGCTCTGCCTCTCCCTCTCCAGCCCCTACTCGTGCTGGTCTGGGCAGGTTCCGCCTCACCAGAGCAGTAAAGGGCAGCTGAGGGCCCGTGAGCCCCGTCATGCTCTTGGGGCATCGCATTCCCACAGAGCCCTGGGGGTGAGGTCTCCTGTGCCCGCCGTCCAGGCCGGCCTGAGACCCACCCTACCCCCAAGGCAGTAGCCCTCTCCCAAAGCCCAGGCTCAGAGACAGAAGAGAATGGAGGCCTGAGTACGCAGGGGCAGGGTGGGCTGCGCCCAAGGGGTGTGTCTTCACTCCCACCCCAGGCTCCCCCGCCCTGCCCAGGTCCCGCCTGACCTTGCCGAAGATTTGGTTGAGCAGAGGCCCGTATGTCCTCTGAGCAGCGTCATGCTGGGAGTTAGGACGGTGGCGGTTGGAGTGGCGATGAGGGACTGCGGGGGGTGCCTCCCTGTGTCCCTCCCCGGCCTTAGTGGGGTTCTTACTGCTTCCTGGGACCTCAGGGCCTGGGAGCGGGGTCTGGTCCCCAGGGCTGCCAGCGCCTTTCCGGGACCCTTGGAGAGCCCTCTCCCTCTTGCTGCTTTTCTTGGTCCAGGGGGGTCCCTCAGCACCACTCGGGGGAGCCGCACCCCCTCCAGGGGGCTTCTGGGGGCCAGCGGTCGGGCCCGGGCTGTGCCGCCCCCTCGCCTGCTCTGTGGCCATGCAGGAGGGACGACAGGGCAGAGAGGCAGCACCCCGGGTACCCTCGGCACGCAGGGCCCATAAAGCTTCTTATGCACCCCCACTCTTAGAGCCGAGGGCCTGGGATCTGGCACTGAGCAGGATTAGAGTCAGTGAGGCGGGAAGCCTGGCCCTAATCCCAGCCCTCTGCCCCGGGACTGGCCAGGGCACAGCCGGGTGGGTCAAGGGAACTGGCGAGGGGTGCAAGGATGTGGTGGTTCCATGAGCTTCAGATTCCAGCTCTGCCACCGTCTGCTGGGTGCACGTCTTCACCCTCCAAGCCTCAGTGTCCTTGTCTATAAAATGGGGGAGTATTGCCAAAGCGTTAAGGTCCCAGCCCTGCTGCGTGACACGGGCCGAGGGCTTAGGTGAACAGACCAGGGTAAAGCATCTCAGGCAGGGAGGAGGACAGCAGTTGGGAGACAGGAAAGGACAGGACAAGTCGCCCACTGGGGGCCCTGGGGAGGTGACATCCTGGCTGGAGCAGAGGGCGTGAGAAACCAAGGGAGAGAGGCCGGATCACAGAGGACTTGAATGCCGAGTTGGGGGGTGTGGGGGTGATGTCAGAGGAGGTGAACCCTGGGGTCCTGCCCAGGGCTGGAGGGGCCCAGGGTGTGGGGTTCGCCTGGCCGGCCCGGTCAGGGATGGGGGGGTCTGGTTGGTCACTTGGCCCTCCTGGGCTGGGGTTAGGGTTTCCCAGTGAGCAACCCATGAATGATTGATGCCCTCTCAGCTTGGGTTTCCTGCCTGTCTGCCCGCCTCCTCGCCGCCGGGCGCCATGCAGCGGGCCCCGGTGAGGGGCCGTATGGACAGCTGGACAGCCGGGCAGACCGGCATGCCCCGCTCCTTCCGGCCATCGCCCGAATCTCACAGGTAAGCCAGGCCTCGCTGGTGGGGCCCTGGGCGGTGGGACTAGCAGCGGGGTACCCAGGGCTCTGATCCAGTAGGATTGGAGATTGCCAAGTGGGGTCTGTGTGAGGGACAGCCCTGGGGGTGAGGGGTCCACCAGGCCAAAGTTCAAATGGCTGGAGCCAGGGGCCACGGGCAGGATGCTGGGGCATCTGATCCCTCCCCTAACCACACTGCCACCAGGGCTCGGTCCGTCTACCGAGGAAAACTTCCTCCCCTCTGCCTGGGGAAGTGGGGGCGGGGAACAGGCCTCCTGGGTCCCAGGCCTGGGTGCCCCTAGCCCACCTCCCCCTCATCACATCACAGAGCCCCCTGCTACCCCTCTATCTAGAAGCTCCAGGGGACGGGAGATGGCCACGCTGGGGCGGAAGACACACAAGAGGCACAAGCTGGTCCCAGGACAGCCCTCCTGGCCCCAGGTTGCCAGGGCCCCATGCCTAGATTTCACCCTGAGCTCATGAGTGACACAGCTGAGGAGCAGGGGTCTCCTACTGTCCCAGACTCCCTTGGACTCCTATGGGCCCATGGGACCCACAGCCCTCTCCTCTTGGGATTTTTTTTTTAGTTGAGGTCTCACTGTCTCCCAGGCTGGAGTGCAGGGGCACGACCGCGGCTCTAAGGGCTCAGGTGATCCTTCTGCCTCAGACTCCCAAGTAGCTGAGATTCCAGGTGCACACCACCATACCCGGTTAATTTGTTTATGTTTGGTAGAGTTGAAGTCTCGCTATGTTGCCCAGGCTGGCTTCAAACTCCTGGGCTCAAGTGATCCTCCTGCCTTGGCCTCCCGAAATGCTGGGATTATAGGTGTGAGCCACCGAGCCTGGCTCCCTCTTGGAATCTTAAGTGCTTTGGATCCCAGGATACTAGGCATCAAGCAGACTTATAGTGAGCTGACCAAGTGGTTTTCTTTTTTCTTTTTTTCTTTTTTTGAGTTGGAGTCTCACCCTGTCGCCCAGACTGGAGTGCAGTGGCCGCTCCCGGCCACGGCAGCCTCGACCCGCTG